CCCCAAAACCCCAAAACCCCAAAACCCCAAAACCCCATCATCTTTTAGTTTACAGAAATTTGGAAAATAAGATACATAATAAATACATAAATATTATAAATTGAATAGGATCCTCGATTTACACAGCATATTATAATAATATCTAATATGAAATTCCTTACGTTAACAATTGCCTTATTAGGCTATGTGAGCGCAAACTTCCTCAGTTCTTACCCTCATTTCTTTATTAAGAGCTCAGCTGATGATGATGCAAATAAAAGCTTAAAGGAAATCGTAAAGGAGAATGGATTCGCAATTGAATAGCACACAGTGACCACTGCTGATGGATACATCTTGACATTATTCAGAGTCCCAGGGTTTCTTAATGAAACTATCTAAGATCCCATTAAGAAACCAGTTGTTTTACTTCAACACGGTTTAGAGGCTGACGCTGACTGTTGGGTTATTAATAGTCCAGATGTCACTCATACCTTCGTATTAGCCAGACAAGGCTTTGATGTCTGGATGGGCAACAACAGAGGAAACAAGTACAGTCTCGCACACAAGACTCTTGACCCCAATGATCCCGTTGATAAACCAAAGTTCTGGTAATTCTCCTTTGAGCAAATGGGAATTTATGATTTACCCGCTGAAATTGATTACATTCTAGAAGTTACTGGCCAAGAGAAACTCTCCTATGTTGGACACTCAGAGGGCACAACTTAAATGTTTATTGGAGCTTCATTGAACCAAGAATACTTCAAATCAAAGGTAAATGTGTTCCTTGCTCTGGCTCCAATAACAAGAATTGGGCATGTCAGAACTACCTTACTAAAACTCTTAGCTGATAATGTTGATGCTGTTCAACACTTGATAATTGATGATTTTGGAATGTATGACATGTTCGGACCAGATTGGCTAAGAGATCAAGTCACTGCAGCATTTTGCGACACTAAACTTGGAAGTTTGATTTGTGACGCTTTCCTTGAGATGATTGGAGATATGGATGTCTCAGTTGACAACTTGAGCAGAGTAAAGACTTATTTAACTCATGTTCCTTCAGGTTCTGGCTATAGAGATTTCGTTCACTACGCTCAAATCATCAACACTGATCGATTCCAAAGATACGACTTCGGAGCTGATATTAACCTTGATAAATACAACTCAACTATTCCTCCTCTCTACCCCATTGATCAGATCAAAGATTTCCCAATTGCACTTTTCGGAGGTACTCTTGACGAACTAGGTTCCGTCACTGACGTCGACTGGACTAACCAATAATTGGGAAATAATGTTGTCTTCTATGGATAATATGAACTTGGGCATATGTCTTTCCTTATTGCTAAAGATATGACTTTCTTCACAGTTGATGCAGTTAACGTTATCAAGAAGTACTCAACAAACTCTTTTGTATAACAAGGATTTCTCTAAGAGTGATTGAACTTTGAGTGAAATTATTTTCTTAATTTCATACTTCTAAATCTATTCATTTGTTATATTGAGAATCAAAACCAAATCCAAATCTTATAACTCATATATTAATTTAGAAAAATTTAACATCAATCATATTGAATTGGTAATTCATGGGGTTTTGGGGTTTTGGGGTTTTGGGG